ACAGAAAAGTAGGACATTATATTTAGCGGTAATATATGAAAATGAAAATATATATATATATATATTTCATGTTTTAAATTTTTTCTATGATGACTAAACATTTTGGCACCCAAATTCTAAGTTTATTGTGTCTGAATACCTTATTTCTGGCTTTTTCTTCTCTCTCCAATATTCTCAGTGCAATAACAGACTTAAAAAAAAAGTTGTCATTATCTTTGAGCAAATATTTTCTTTTAATAATTTAAATATGTTCTTGACAGGTTTTTGTGAGATTCATCTGAATCCTCCTACACTGCTTATTTTTCTTTAATACTGTTTTAATCATCTCTTGTCATGTTTTAAATATGTGCAAACCTTGCTAAAAATAGTCAAAATATTTTTTATTAATTTAAATATTTACAATTTAATCATTAAAATATTTAATATTTTAAATATATTAATTACTATTTTTCTTTTGATTTTGTCAGTAAATGTGACATGGACTTTTTTTTTTTTTTGACAGGTTTTTCTGAGATTCAGCTCAAGCCTCCTACTCTACTTATTTTGTTCTTTCATAATGTTTTAATAGTGTTTTTTTATGTTTTAATAATCTCGCCATACTTTAAAGAAGTACACTTATTTTCGAACCCTCCTAAAAATAGACTTAATTTGCTTTGAACAAAATATTTTATTAAGCTCATTTAAATATTTCAAATATTTTATATAAATATATAATTCTTATATTTGTCCTTTTGATTTTGTCTCTAGGTGTGACCTAGACGTGTCCTTGACATGTTTTTGTGAGATTCTTCTCAATCCTCCTATGCTGCTTATTTGTCTTTAACACATTTTCTGTCATTTATTTCCATTCCATCCTCGACGTTTCTTTTTCTGTCGTTCTTCCCCGTGACAGACTGTCTCCCGTCGGTTTAGCCGTTATTATGTGCTCTGAAGTCTAAGTGACTCATTCTGAGAGCAGCGAGAGACGCAGACGAGAGGATAACGAGCGTTGAGGAGATGAAGAGAGCTGGATGTTAACGGCTCACATGGCTAATGGCCTCTCGACTCGTTTATGACACGTCATGCATCTGCGGCAGCGGCCCAAAGCTGATCAATAACACAGCACGATCAATAAATACTGTCTGAAAACACGGCATGAACTCTATTGATGTCTTACCAAAGCAGGCTTTCTCAGCTTTGTGAAAAAGAAGTGCATACTCAATAATGTACTTAAAAAATATATACTTCTTGCAAACTAAATGTAATGTGTATATATATATATATATATATATATATATATATATTAAATCATGCAATTATTTCAATTTTATCAACTAATAAAAAATATTTTTTGACCCACTGAAGTAGGCAAATCTTCATATGTAATTTCATAATTTTGAAATGCAGTTAATATGTTTGTCAAAGCATGACAAAAGATAATTAAAACATAATGATTTAATGTAATTTAATGTAAAACCTTTACTTTGACATTATTTAAAATTGTACGTAAGAAACATAATCATGAAAAAACTATTTTTAAGTACACTTAAGTAACATTTTATTTCATTAATATTATATTGTCTGTAAGTACAGTTTTAAAAATATATACCATTTAAATTGTACTTTTATGTAAAACCTTTGGTTTTATGACAATAAAACATAAATAAAAATAAAAGAAAAACACATAGAAAGAGGCTGACAATGCACAAAAAAAGTGTACTTAATTCCATTGAATGTGTACTTTAAATCTAAGAAAAAAGTATATTTAAAAAAAACTGTACTTGTAGACAATATTAATGACAAAAAAGGTTACTTAGGTTTACATAAAAAGACTGCTTTCATGATTATGTTTCTTAATACTTAAGTACACTTTTAAAAGAATGACAATTAAAAGCTTTACATTAAAGCACATTTTAAAACATAATTTTAACCTACTTGCAGACAATATAGTATTAATTAAATAAAAAGTTACTTAAGTTTTTGTGACTGTTTCTTTACACACTTAGATCATTTCAAATTATATATATATATATAAATCTTATTTTTATAAGACTCTACTTGGAGACAATATAATTAAAATGTTACTTATATTGACTTAGTTTTTCATATTGTTTTTAAAACACAAGTACACTTTTAACTTTTCAACACAATTAAGTACACTTTTACATACAGTCAAAATAAAAGTCATACTTTAAAGTACATTTAAAATTGTATATTGAGAAAAAAAAACGCTACTTGCAGTCAATGTAGTATTAACCAAATTATAGATTACTGAAGTGTACTTAAATAATTTTTATTACTGTTTCTAAAAATAATGCAAAACATATTTTAAACCACATTTGAAGTAGCTGTAAAGTCATTTTTGGGTCACTATTTTTGCAGTCACATTTGGTGACGCTAGAAATATCACTTTGCAGCTTTAACCCTAACCGTGGTAAAATCACTGTAACATATGTCCTCTTCTGGTCTTGTACTGTATTTTATCCCAGCATGAGGTTAATGGATTGTAATGGATTGTCCTCCATGGAGACCTTTAATTTGTCACAGTTCTCACAGTTGGCAAATGTCTGTGTTGTGTTTGTGAAAGTTCGCTGGCGAGCGTCGTTCTCCGTCAGGAGCATGTGGATGATGTGTCTGTGTGATTCCACTGACCAACTGCAGATGAGAGTCAGAGATCGGGCATCAGACACGGGTTTTCTGTGGAGACCGATCGTTCCTGGTTGAACCACAGAGAAGAAACGGCCCCCTGAGGCCTGAACACACACACACACACACACACACACTGATGCCACGTCAGAACACACATGCAGCTTTACAGGCTGTGAATGCATGAAGATGCAACATTACTCCACTTAAAAACCCCACTAAAGAGCTGGACTGTTTTTCCCATATTGATGAATTGACATGCAGTGCAATATCCAGAGCTAGTGATGTTACATATTAGTCAGATGTCTCTTCCAGTTCCTTCTGGTCCAGAAAAAAAGTTTCTATGAGGACCAAATTTTCTGGTTGACATTAGGGTGAGACATGTTGAAAAGAAAAATAGCCACAAGTCTTGCGTTTGCATTATTACTTTGTGTGGTTTAAAGGAGTCGTTCCAAATGATTCAGTGAGTCATTAGATTGATTCAAAGTAATAACTCACTTAAAAACCCCACAACAAGTTGGACTTTTCCCCCATATTAATAAATGCCATAGTCAGATCACCTGCATGCAGTGCAATATCCAAGTTTAAATGAGCCTACAAAATCAGGTTTAACATTTTCAAGACTGATGATTTGAACTCTGTGTGGAAGAACTAATCGCTGTATTGGTCTGGTTTTTACAAACTTTGTGGTTTCAGTGCTTTGAAGGAAAACGTCTCAGGTTACTTATGTAACCATGGTTCCCTGAGTAGGGAACGAGACACTGCGTCCTCTAGGGGTCGCTATGGGGAACGCCTCGTCGTGACCCGCACTTGTGTTTTACGGTTACTCACTTTACATATTGGTCAGACGGTCTCTTTCGGTTTCTTCTGGTTCAGAATAAGTTTCATTAAAAACCAGATGTCATGGTTGACATTTGCTTGAGACATATTGAAAAGAAATATAGCTAAAAGTCTACTAAGTAATTAGTTCATATGGTTTGTTGAAGAAGTTCCAAATGATTCAGTGAGTCATTATGTTAATTCAAACTAACAACACACTGTAAAAGTTAAAAACTGAATCTTTAAAGATTCATTAAAGGGTTAGTTCACCCAAAATGCTTATAAATGCTTATAATGCAATAAGCAGCTTGAAAGATCAAAGACAATTTTTAATATAACTCCGACTGAATTCGTCTGAATTCGAAAGTCATATACACCTAGGATGGCTTGAGGGTGAGTAATTTGTGGGTGAACTAACCCTTTAAGCAATCATCATAAGAGTTATTAGTTGTTGTTTTTTTTATCACACTTATGCTCATGCTGGATGTTGTTGTCTGTACTTATTTAACATGTTCTCTGTTTGTGTTATTATTTTGTGTCATCATTTTCATTTCAAAGTGAATCTAATAAAAATAGACCTTCTGTATTTTACCGTGGTATTCAGCCCACATGACAGAAAGAAGCAGATGTTCAAAAACCATTAAGGAAAATGGAATCAAACATTATGAAGATTCCAGAATTCCAGTATTAGTTTTAAAAACTGAATCAGTTCGGAATAAGAACCAGTTCTTTCCCAGCTAACAGTGAACGTTCCCAGAATGTTATGTTATGAATTCGCATTCTTCCAGTAACTTTAATAGACAATTATTTGGTGTTTAATCATTTTCTCAAAACTGTATCCCCAAAAAATAAAAGAAAATAATATATATATATATATATATATATATATATATATATATATATGTATAAAAGAGTAATTTGACAGTTGAATGAATTCGCATTCTTCCAGTAACTTTAATAGACAATTATTTGGTGTTTAATCATTTTCTCAAAACTGTATCCCCAAAAAATAAAAGAAAATAATATATATATATATATATATATATATATATATATACAACTGAATAATAGAGAACATAAGCATGCTTAATACATTTTATTGACTATTATTATATCATTAACAGTTTGAGGTACTTCAAAATTTACTTGAATTTAAATTCATGCCTGACTGTAAAAAAAAAAAATAAAAATAATAATTGCCTACATTTGACCCCTTTTATAATTTGAAGTAATATAAACATTTGTGCATAACCAAGAAAAAACATGCATGAAACATTAAAAAATATGCTCTGAAAGAATGTGTTCATAACATAACATTAATGTTAAACAAATGTTGTTAGAACAGTTTTGTTAGTGTTTTTTTCCCAGCACTGCAGGAGAGTTTATTAAAGTCATCTCTCTCTCTCTCTCTATGGTAATATTTGTTCTAGCTGTAATTTCTAATTAAGATGAGTAAAGCCCAGCAGAGTCGTGATGGTCCTGCCGGAATGTGTGTGTTCTCATTCTTAAGAGGTAATTTTTTGACACAATGTTTACGATGCATTGTTCTGTTTCAGGACAGTGTAACAGATCACCATGACGACTGAAATGCAGGAGATCGCCATCACGGAGGAGAAGCCTTTACTGCCGGGCCAATCAGACGCTGTGAAGGTCATCACACACACACACACACACACTCACACGCACACACACACGTATCTGTCATTAACTTATGTTTTGCTGCCACCTGCTGCACATTTGAAGAACGTCAACAAACTCAAAAATAAAATTAAAAAACAAAACAAAACACTGGGATAATGATTTGTATTGATCACACTGATAGGATGAGCGACAATCGTAAAACGCCTCTTGAGATCGGCATTAATGCACAACATTTCAGTGTTACTTGGCAACCAGACAGCCTGCAATTAAACTAATGAAGTGTGTTATTTATTTGTTAGTTACGTTTGCTAAATCAAGTTACTCTTACTATGTCACATACTTATAATGAGTGATTGAGAATTAAACTCCAGCGCATGATCTCGTGTTTCAGACAGGAATGATTGTTTAAGTCGTGTGTGTTGTTGAGGAGATTGCTGTGCTGGTGTTTTACTAAGTGTTTTTAGTTGCTGGACTATAAAGCATATGGAAAAATCCTACAGATTCACATTGAAAGTTGTTATTTTTTTTCTCATCTCTTTACATTATGTCAGTCAGTCTAGCGTGAAAAACAGCACATTTGCTTCAAAGACTGTATTTTATCACATCACTGTTGCCACAGTTTTATAAAAATCAACACACCAGTGAAGGCTGTGATACTGTGATTTTCCCATATTTTGACTGACAGCACCTCTAAAACTGGTAAAACCATGTTAATGCACTTCAAGAGGCTTATTGATTTATTTTATACTTATTCTTATTATACTTATTCATTATTTTCTTTGCTTTTTGTTTGTTTTAATACATTTTAAAACAAATTTTATCTTTTTTTTTTCGTATGTACCCTTTTAAGATCACATTTTAACTGTAGTTAACTAAAAATAATTTTTTAGGCATGCATAGTAAACAGAGATATTGGTTCTTGCTGCTGTTATTGAGATTGTGTGATTGTTTTCATGCAGGACGCAGAGACCGCAGCCCGAATACTGCTGGATCAAGGCCAGGTGAGATAAAACTTTGCTGGATATACATGATTGATGTACATGCTTCATATAGTTGACAGGTTCATTGATGTTTTCTTCTTTAAACAAGTCAGGTTTAGATCTAGCTCAGCATGTCACACTTGTGATGTCAAATACCCGTTATTACTTTTCATTATCTTGAATTGTATATGCATAAGCATGATTTTATTGAACATTCACCTCTTTCTGTGTGTTTGTGTAGGAACACCGTGTCGAGACGCCTCACGGCGTGCTGCATGTGACGGTTAACGGAGCTGGAAACGCACGCAGACCGGCCATACTGACCTTACATGATGTGGGAATGGACAGTAAGTCACTCATACACACACATACACACACACACACACACACACACACACACACACACACACACACACA